TTGGTTTTAAACGAATCATTCTTTTTATTATTATTAGATCCCCTGTCGTTCCCCCTGACCCTATCGAAGCCGACCTCACCCCTCGGGGTTCTGTTATCAATACTTTGAGCTGTTTAGTTTGCTGGAACACTGGGAGGAACTGGACCTCTTCCACTCGTGTTGTTAGAGTCACCCGACAATGCTTTCCTCAGCTCTATCATGACCTGATCTTGTCGCGAGGGATGGACCATAATAGCCTTTTGTTGTTCCCCCAGGATTCTCACCGTTTCCGCAATGTGCTCGTATTCAACATCATCAAGAGTTGCTTTCCCGAACATGTCGTGGATATTGCCCGCCATGGACCGACGTGGCTACATCATCCTCGTTATGGGTATCACTGATCGAATCTTCGTGTTGAGGCTGATTTCCTTGGACCTCAATGTTATGTGTGATGTTGACATCGTTACTTGCCATATTTTATGATTTTTTGCTAAAAACAAAGAATTAAACGGATTAGTAATAGATGCAAGGATCAACTCAATTACACAAATGTTTAGGCCCCATATTGGGCGCCAAATTGTTTACCCGTAAAACGGTACAGTTGAACTTGTAACGTGGTTTATAGACAAGCAAATCGATTTGATCCCAAAAACAATAAATACATTAAATAAAATTCAAGACTTAGCGTTAAAATCGAGAAAAGATAACAAATATCTTGGTTCCGGGAGCAGAGCCTCCGAAGGCAGTAACAAGAATATCAATAGACAAGAAATAAAGTGTTATTGAGATTTTGAATAATATGTAGCATAAGTTTGTCAGAAAATTCATCCCTCTTATAATGGCTGTTGAAGTCACTATTTATAGCTGCACCTAGGGAACAAGATCCTAGGATCAAGACCCTCTTAAATGATAATTATGGTGGCTATTGATGAATGTGTAACGGCAGACTATGAATGCCCAAATTCTCTATAACGGATTGTGTATTTAATACAACATAATATTCTTTATTGAATATTATCGGGTGGCAAACATTCGCTTGTCTTCATTAGCAATATTCCACTCGGGGTCTTCCTGGTGCCAAGCGAACCTGCTGTTGTCAGTCTTGGTTTCTACTTACCTCGCTTTTTATTTTTCTCCGGTTCCACGTATCGCTCTATTAGTCGAGTATTTAATACGAACTGATTCTACCTTATACAGTAGGGTCTGCGGTGTTCACGAAGGTCAATCCCCCTAAGCCTTCGTATTCACGAGCCTACCCTCGTGTTTGCGTAGAACAACCAGCCTCAGCCCCATATTTCTCCTTCGCGATCGCGAAGCACTGATACACCAACAGAAAAACCAACAAACTTACAAGGCCAAAAATGGTCCAAAATTAATTCAATACTCACCGAGTCCCCCGGGCTCCAACCCACACATGCGCACAAGTGTAATAATATCATGCAAACTCACTCGCTACCTCAAATCATCAAAAAACATCAAAAATCACGAATCGATCATCAAAACTTCAGTTTTTTCAAACTTTAAACTCATTTTCCAACTTTCCACATAACACGCCAAAACGCCCTCGAGTCTCCCGAGACCACAAATAAATATGCGTACAAGTCCAAAAATATAATTCGAACCCACCGAAATCATCAAAACACCGATCCTAGTTCGTTTATCAAGAATGTTTTCCGTGGTCAACTTTAGTTATTTTCAAAGACAAAAATCATATTTTCTTTAAAAATTTCATGTAAAAAATTTCCGAAAAATGACACGGGCCATGAACGCAAGTCATATAACATCAAACAAAGCTATGAGAGGTCTCGTAATATAGAAATAAAGGTTAGTATTCAAAATGATCTATCGGGTCGTTACATTCTCCACCTCTAAAAGAAACGTTCGTCCTTGAACAGACATAGAAAAGTACTTGAACAGGTAAAAAGGTGTGGGTATCTTCTTCATATATTGGACTCGGACTCTCACGTAGCCTCCCCAATCGACTGACCTCTCCATTGCACTTTCATAGAAGAAAAACTCTTGGATCTCAACTTTAGAACCTGTCGATCTAGAATAGCCACCGACTCCACCTCATATGTAAAATTCTCATCAAGCTGCATCGTGCTGAAGTCCAAAATATGTAACATGTACTCATGATACTTCTGAAGCATGGAAATGTGAAATATCACCCCTACTAGGCTAGGATACAATGCAATCCGATAAGCAACTTCCCCAAGATCTCAAACGGGCCAATAAACCTCGGGCTCAGCTTGCCATTCTTCCTAAACTGCATCATGTCCTTCATAAACGACACTCGGAAAAGAAGCTTCTCACCCACCATATAAGCCACATCTCGAACATTCCGGTCCGCATAAATCAATTTCCTGGACTGAGCTATACGAAGTCGCTCCTGAATTACCTTAACCTTTTCCAAAGCATCACAAACCAAATTAGTGCTCAATAATCTAGCCTCTTCGGGCTCACACCAACCAATCGGCGAATGCCATCACCTCCCATATACAGCTTCATACAAAGCCATTTGAATGCTCGGCTTATAGCTGTTGTTGTAGGTGAACTCTGCTAAAGGTAAGAACTGGTCCCACCTCCCCCCTCCCCCCCCCCCCGAAATCCATAGAGAATGTCCGCAATATGTCCTCTAATATCTGAATAGTGCGTTGGGGCTATCTGTCTGTCTGAGGATGAAACAAAGTACTTAGTCAAAAATGATGGAAATGTGCACAACGTGCAGGCGGATAATCTCCCGTATGTAAATTTAAGCCAAACTCAAGAATAGGAAGTCATCACTTGAATGAAGTGTGTGCACTTAGTTAACCGGTACGCAATAACCCAAACCGCATCATATTTCCTCAGGGTCTGTGATAAGTCTACCACAAAATCCATAGTGATGCGCTATCACTTCCACTTCGGTATCTCCAACCCCTGAGTCAATCCACCTAGCTTCTGATACTCGCACTTCACCTGACACCTAGGTGAATGGAATAGCGCGAATTGTGAGCCTTCTCAAGGATCAACTATCTCAACCCATTAATATTTGGAACACAAATCTGGCCCTGAATACGCATAACACCATCATCTCCAATCACAACCTCCTTGGAACCACCCCACTGCACCGTAACCTTCACGACTCTCTAAAAATGTGATGTAAACTACGTGCCTCAGTTAGAAATGATGCAAATGGACATGTTGTGCAGGCGGATAATCTCCCGGATGTAAATCTGAGCCAAACTCTCTGAAGAATATGAAGTTATCACTGGAATGAAGTGTGCGGACTTAGTCAACCGGTCCACAATAACCTAGACTGTGTCATATTTCCTTAGAGTCCATGGTAAGCCTACACAAAATCCATAGTGATGCGCTACCACTTCCACTCCGGTATCTCCAATCTATGAGTCAATTCAGCTGTTTTCTGATGCTCGTACTTCACCTGTTGATAATTCAAACACCGAGAGACATAAGCAACAATATCTTTCTTCATTCTTCACCACCAATAGTAATGTTTCAAGTCATTGTTCATATTCGTGACACCTGAGTGAATGTAATAGCACGAATTGTGAGCATCCTCAAGGATCAACTATCTCAACCCATCAATATTTGGAACACAAATCCGGCCCTGAAGATGCATAACACCATTATCTCCAATCACAACCTCCTTGGAACTACCCCACTGCACTGTATCCTTCAACACCAACAAGTGAGGATCATCAAACTGGCGAGCCTTGATACGCTCCAACAACAATGATTGTGCCACAATACAAGCGAGAATCCGGCTAGGCTCCGAAACATCCAATCTCATGAACCGATTGGCCAATGCCTAATTATCCATAGGCAATGGCCTCTCCTTTACCGGAAAATATGTCAAACTGCCCATGTTCTCAGTCGTCCTACTCAATACATTAGCCACTACATTGGCCTTTTTCGGATGATATAGTATGGTGATATCATAGTCTTTCAGCAACTCTAACCATCTCTGTCACCACAAATTAAGGTCCTTCTGCTTGAACATGTGCCGGAGACTCCGATGGTCGGCATAGACCTCACATAGAACACCGTATAGATAGTGCCTCCAAATCTTCAGCATGTGGAAAATGACTGCCAACTCTAAGTCATGCACAAGGTCATTCTTCTCACGAATCTTCAAATAACGAGACGTGCAGGCAATCACCCTACCGTCCTACATCAACACTGTGCCAAGCCCAATACGCAATGTATCACAATACACAGTATAAGATCCCGAACTTGTAAGCACCAATATTGGGGCTGTAGTCAATGCAATCTTGAATTTCTGAAAGTTCGCCTTTCACTCGTCGGACCATCTAAAAAGAGCACCCTTCTAGGTCAATCTAGTCAAATGAGTTGCGATGTATGAAAAAACCTCCACTAAACGGCGATAATAACCTGCCAAACCCAAGAAGCTCCGAATTTCTGTAGCTGATGTAGGTCTAGGTCAGTTCTGAACTATCTCAATCTTCTTCAAATCCAATATAAATTACAAACAATAGCATTTTTAAAATGATATAATATATGCATATAAATTTCACATACCTATCAATTTGCGAGGCCGCTCACAAAAATTGGTTAAACACTCGTTTTTTATTATAAATTAATATTACATTTATATGGCCAATATTATGAAAAAAAAAGAACTTAAAAAGCAAAAAGCAAAATTGATTAAAGAAAAATTACTGGTACTCTCACTTAATGACGATGTCAAGAAAAATAGAGTAATATATCTACTGAATGTTATAATTGGCTAAAAATATAAACCAACATAACCTTTGTTTATTATTTTCGTGGGTTCATGCTAATATTTTCTCACAAAACTAGATGGCATGTACACATGCTATGCACGCGTGTATGCCCGACATAAATGTCTCTGTTCTAGTGAAGCAGAAGAAAATAAAGATGGGAAAGCACTTTGAGATGGAGAGAAGCAAAAGGGTGGGGGAAAAAACTAAACGGCGTGGTGCTTCAAATTGGACACCCGAAAATCTCTTAAGGAATGAGGACAAAATTACCATCTTATTTCTGTACAGTACCCTCGGCCATCCAACAACTTTCGCTTATTATATATTGGAGTACTAGTTTATTTAAGAAAAGGAGAAGGAAGGAAGCACTCTATATAAGTGATGATAAAATGATGGATGCCTACTCAAGTCCTTAGGAGTGTGCATAGTTCTGTATTCAGTGTGGAAAATCCTGAAAAAAAATTATTCGTCTACAGCCATTCGGAGACATAATGCAGATTTTAAATTACAACATAAATATAAAATTCATATCATTACTTCATGAACCCAGATGAAAATATTGTGATGATGAGAAATTTAAACTTTGAATTATCTTTTAACTCAAAATAAGACCGACCAAAAAACATGATTGGTGGGAACTAAAAAGTAAAAACATGGCACTACAGAGGAAAAGAAAAAGGGAAACAATTGAAGTTGATCCGCATATTTGCTTCATTCTATCTGATTTTACCCTAAAATCGAAGTCGGAAGTAGTGTTTCCTCAGTGTAAGTGTAAGCTCTCTCCTTTGCTTCTTTAGTTTGTTTTTCCCCCAATTTTTTTTTATTCATTTACAATGTATGCTCCGTAACATACGTTCTTCCAGTTAATTTTTGCACTCCAATGCAACGGATTTTCCTCAGTGTCGTTCCATTTAGACCATACTGCTTTGACCAGTTGTATAGAAGCCCGAGCTCGAGAAACACTGACCGAGCTGAACTGAAAAATTGAGCCATAACTGCAAAAAGTTAATAATGCTGACTTAGTTCTGTTATTTGTAGTCTGTGGGTATCATTTTTATACTATGCTGAAAGTTCAGGTTGCAAATGGGAAAGGAATGTGAGGAATTGACAGAGCAAGAAACTGCCATATATGATCGTCAAATTAGGGTTTGGGGTGTCGACGCTCAGCGAAGGTATTTGTTTTTCTCATTTACACAGGCAACCAGTAAGATAATGCATCACAAATAGACGGTTGTTATAGATGTTTACTTACATCATACATCTATCTGAGTTTAGCATCCTTATAACCGGTGATAATAGGGAAGTAAATGTTCTTGGTACTTGTGCGCTTAGTGTGGTACGTAACCTTCTACAGTGTTTATATTGTTGTTGATAGTGTGAACATTATATTCTTTACATTGTATTATGAGCGTATACTTTTCAAAGTTACCTCTTAACATATGTCAAAAAGCAAGGTCCTCATAGCTGTGTAGAGACACTTTTACCGATAGCTGAATGAGAATGAGGATGATAAAATAATCACTACAAAATAAGGTAATCTGAAGATTGTTTATGATGATCAGACTTCGTGTTGTCCCGCTTCCCCTTAGGAATGGCAATGTAGCAGGACATGGTGGTGGGCGGAGTGGGGAAAGGTAAAGCCTTAATGGGGCGAAACGGGAGAATACTTAAGTGGAGCAGGGTTGGAACAAAAATAGAATTATGAAAAATGTATAGTGAGACTGGATATGGGTAGGTCAGGTTGAAACTTAGTTTCGCTGCACTTCATGAACAAAGCCTCGTTATCCATTTCTCTACTCTCTCTACTTTTTCTTTATTAAGCCTTCATTGGATCATCATTGGAAACGGTAAGCAATACTGACCCACTCTCAGGTAAGGATAATGGGGTTATGACTTGACTTTAGGCAGCAAGTGTTTTTCAGTTTGTGATTTGTTTATTACTTGGTGGAGTGTAAATCCAGAAGTTAAAAGTAGCAGAAACGAGGATGTTGAGATAGGTTTGTGGGCATACCAGGTTGGATAAGATTAGGAATGAAGATATCCGGATGAAGATGAGAGTGCCCCCGTGGAGGACAAGATGCAAGAAGCGAGACTGAGATGATTCGTGCATGTGAAAAGGAGAAACCCAGATGCCCTAGTGAGGAGATACGAGTGGTTGGCTTTGATGAGTAGGAGTAGGGGTAGAGGGAGACCTAAGAAGTATTGAGGGGAGGTGATCAGGCTGGACCTAGCACGACTTCAGCTTATCGAGGACATGACCCTTGATAGGAGGGTGTGGTGGTCGAGAATTAGGATAGAAGATTAGTAGTTAGTCGAGCGTATTTCTATTCTATATCGATGGTTTTAGGGTTAATCTCGTAGTTTTTCTTGTCTTAGATTGCTAGTAGTTCCTGTTGTTTCCCCATTACCTTTCACTTCGGTTTCTTAGTATTTTGTTGTTGTTACAGCTTGTTGCTACTGGTTCCTTTGTCGTTATTATCTTTCTGGCCCTCTTTGTTGATTTTGCTTGTTTCTACTGTTTCTTTTCATCTTTCTCGAGCCGAGGGTCTATCGGAAACAACCTCTCTTCCTTCTCAGGGTAGGAATAAGGTCTGGATACACACTACCCTCCCAGACTCCACTTGTGGGACTTCACAGGGGTCGTTGTTGTTGTGCTTGGTGGAGTGTAATCTGGTAAAGCAATTAGGTGGATCACGAGAAATTGAGAATTTAGGAGATGAGGCATAGTGTTTCTATTTTCTGTTGTTCTTGTTAAACCAAAAAGCTAAGGAGAGTAGTTAATACTCTATAAAGATTTCTAAAAACCGTAAAGGGTTTTATTTTACCTAGTGACTGTAGGGTTTGGGTTAAAATTGTTGTAGGGCAAGGCACTACATGTCCCACCCTGCTTTGCTTGTGTTATTTGTCATCTCTACTTCCCATCACTCTCCTTTCTTGAGTAGCAAGTCATTTTTACTTGGTCTGGCTCAATCATTCCATGCGACTGCCGACTAGCACTTCAAAAGGCGAAACTCTAGGTTGTTTTTTGGCGACCTATCGATGAGATTCAATAGAGATTGATGCTTCAAATTGCAACCACTCTTGCTGGCTTTTTAGTACGTGAGATGGTTCTTCTACTTTGACTCCAAATGAGGATGATTTTCTGTAGACTCAAGACTGCTGAATATTTTTGTCAATCCGAATGCTGCCTTTTTCTTAAACTTAGTGTTTTCTGTATGTTAAGGAAGAGGTCAAATTTATTGATTAAGTAACCTGCAGGTTAGAGAATTTTCAGATGAAGAAATATCTTATCTTGTTAATATTAGTCATGAAGGTTGAGTTTATTAGCTTCTGTACTATTATAGTTGATTACTCTTCACTGCGCAAAACTTATTTTTTTCATTTCTTCATCTAACTAAACGAGGCTCCCAGATCTTTCATAATCGATACGAACTTAGCTAAAACATAGAAGCGTGGAAGTAAGGAATCCATATTGGTGATACCAACTAGTTGTGAGTAGAGATTTGTATGTCAATCAACTAAGCATGGTTGATTGACTTAGCCGACCACAACTAGTTTGAGATTGAGGAGTCGTTGATTGATTGACTGGTTGAACCAAGTAGGCTTGCTAACTGCTACATATTGGTTACTACTCCATATAAGTTCTCTGTTTAGTGAAATCTTTTTGGTTGGTCTCATCTATAGTTTAGTGTATATTTCTTCAGCATAAAGTGAGGAGCAAAGGTGTGAAGTTCTTTGTTACATGGACTCCTCAGTTCTTGGCTTACCCTTGTCAAGTTCGAGACTTCAGTACTTCACAATGGTTCCTTACTTGGATCTTCCAAAATACACTACAAAAGGCCTACTAAAATTTGCTGTAATCCTACACCTACCTGAATCTGATATTTGTACTTAAGTCCATGTAACATATGTAGATTTTAGTCTGGTGTAACTTGCTATTATGGATAAAGAGGGAACCCTTGTTTCTGCGATTCACATGAAGGGCAAATGGAATGTGTGCTCATCCTAGTTTCATATATGACGTACTTTTAATTTAAAAAAACAATATCTATCTTCAAAGGAATGACATATACAAGAATTTTTAGATAGACAAATGGCAGACCATCTAGTTTTTTTCATTTTATAAAATTTTCCACTATTTTATTACTTATGTCAGGTTGAGCAAATCTCATATATTTGTCAGTGGACTGAAAGGGACTGTTGTTGAGGTACAATTCTACCGGTGATCAAGTTTCTGAGTAAAAATTTATTTCGATAATATTTTTTGTTATCAATAGAACAACTTAATCATTTCCTGTTGGTGGAATTGGATTTTATCCAAGCTTAAATTGTGAACATCATGATTCGTGGTCATTTGATAGGACAAGTTTGTATAAAACATTTAGTGCGCCAGATGCTAAAATCAAATTGAGGAACTTCGTATTGTATTTAACTCCTTTATTTTCAGTTTGTTAACTCTTTTTTCTCCCTTTTCTTCCAGTTTTGCAAGAATATTGTCTTGGCCGGAGTAGGTAGTTTGACGCTAAATGATGATCGATTTGTAACAGAAGAGTTGCTGTCTGCTAATTTCTTAGTTCCTTCTGATCAAAATGTAACCCGGGGGAAATCACTTGCTGAGCTTTGTTGTGAATCACCGAAAGATTTCANATATATATATATATATATATATTTAAAATGTTTAAATCTGCATAGTTCCTCTAACTCATCAAGCAACTGCGTTTCCACTTTTTATTGTTCTTTGATCTGGTAATGTCTTCTTAAGCTAGGTTAATCTGCCACTGATATTTTTAGGTGACCTGGCCAGCTTCGATGTTGAATTCTTTCAGAAGTTCGATGCTGTTGTCATCAGTTGTTGCTCCCTATTGACAAAAGTATGGACATTCTTCTTTCTTGTTGAACATAGATAAGATGGGTTTTCCAATGAAAATATCAGTCTTTTATGATTTTCCTTTCGATTATGCTCCCTATGCAGAAATCAGTCAATGCAAAGTGTCGCAAGTTGCCAAGGCGTGTCGCATTTTACCATGTAGAATGCCGAGATTCCTGCGGTGAGATATTTGTTGACTTGCAGAATTACAGCTATTCCAAGGTTATAACCAAATTCATTTCATTTTTAAGTCTCCTGTGGTTGTGGTGGATTTAGTCCTTGGATAGAGCATCTCTGTTCAGTTCGATCCAGTCCTTTCCACACATTGTGTATTTTATCTTAAGGGCCTATGTCTTGCTTATCATATAGCTAAATCTGAAGGAATCTCTTAAATCCCTTCTTATCACTTCTGCAGAAAAAGAATGAAGAAACAATTGAATGCCAACTACACTATCCGAGTTTTGAGGTATGACTTCATCGAAGCCATCAACAAAGAAAATGTTTTCTTGTTTAGCTGTTGTGCTGTTTTACATTATTGTATCGTTGAGATTATATCTTCTTTTCGTTTTTAAGATTTCAGTCTCAGCGAATCTCAGATATGTCGAAGTCATCCCTTTGATTTTCTTTTTCAACTTAAGTTAATGACTACTATATCTGCCTAGCAGAAAGCAAATGTATGATTAATGAATAAAAGGTGATTTGAACTAGTTATTATTTCATACTTCATAGCTGAAACCTTATGGACCTCTTTATGTTGCTTCTAAGCAGATCAATTTGCTCCAGTCCAGATGGATGATTGTCTATATCATTGCCTAAAGTCTATGATGTTTTCTTTTAGGGGTGTGCATTCGAATCGGTTTATCGATAAATCGAATCGATTATTTGTTATCGGTTTATCGATTTCGATTTCGAAATTTTCCTTATCGAGTTATCGATTTCGATTTCGATTTTGTCCTCTTCGGTTATCGGTTTATCGATAAACCGATAGGATATACTATTTATTTATTTATTTTTTGTTTTTACCCTTATTCTATATACCCTTTCCTTTACCCTAAGTCTCTAACCCTATTATTTCATCTACCACATTTAAGGAATGATCATATTTAAAGCTCAAGGGAATGAAGTTCAAATTAATGGAAAATAGAATTAGCCGTGATGATGTATTTTTTTTCTATATACCGTTGGAGTGTTGGTGGCATACATTTGATCCCTTACTTTAGTTTCGTTGCATGTGCTTGTTGACACAATTTTTATTTATAAACGGTGTTAGTCTTATTTTAGCTTCTTTTTGTCCATATTAGTTAGGCGTGTTTATAGTGATATACTTTCCGTGGAATCCCGCAAATTTTCTTATTGGTATAATCGATAACCGAATCGATAAGCCCCAAAAATCGATAAATCGAAACCTTATTGAAAAGATAATGATAAGCATATGTACAAATCGATAATCGATAAGTAATTATCGATAAGGTTCAAAATCGAATCGATAAATCGAATGCACACCCCTATTTTCTTTTCTTGATTTTCCCTTTCAATCTTGTTTCAGCACTATTTCTTTTTCAGCACCATTCGAAATGTTTGGTGGTTAATAATCCATCTGCTACATCTTAACATTTATATGGTAGCTTTGAAGGTTGTCACTAGTATCTGGCAGCTTTTAAACGGAAACAATTAGCTGCACATGTGATGTTCCATAGAGTTGGGCAAAGTTTTTGGTGAGTATAACCTTCTCATTTCAAAGTAACAAGAACCTCCTAACATTCTGTCTAGATATAGTAGTTTAAGGAAGACTTAATTCGCCCGAGAGACAACACCCTTGCGATTTGCATTATCAGTTCCATTGATGAACACCTCACCACCTATTTGTGAGGGTTCTAATGCGGCTTGCCTCTCATCACTGCCATTTTCTTCACGACCATCACCAGACATCAAATAATCCACCTTAACCTGTTCTCATGTCCAGTTTCAGCACTGATGAAGTCCTGCGACACCATTTCAGACATAAATATGGACATAATGATTGGATCTGGATTCAAAATCCTGAAGGATCTCTCATACTCCCAAAAAAATAAGAGATGATGTATGGAATTCATTGGAACAGGTAGATTTTTAAAGGCAATTATGCTTTAAAGAGAGACAGCAATGTAACATACGCTAAAGATTCCTATAATCCCTTTTAACTTTCTAAATCAGATAAAAATGGTTGGGTTACTACATCTGTTGGTTTCTTAACCTGAAGTTAGTATGGTTTCTGTGTTGCAGAGTATTTTATAAGTTTTTCATTTGAAATGGCACTTGCCTTACCTAAACTTCTGCAGGAAGCCACTGAAGTACCGTGGAGATCTCTACCCAAGAGAATGTCAAAGCTATACTTTGCCATGAGAGGTATACCGTATTACTCAGGTTCTTGTAATTTTTTATGCATGTTTAAAGATGCTCTCTAAGTACAGACTTTCGCTATCTGGTACCTGCTGGTGCATGAAGGTCAATTGGAATTTCAGCTATATAAGTAACAAGAACAAGAGAGAGATCAGTGGGTTGCAGTCAGACTCAATCCCAATGTGGCATGTTTAAGTTCTTAGGATCATTGCTTCTGCTTTGATACATTAGGAATATAGAAACTGAATCAATTTGCTCACCTTCAGAGAGGATGCAGTATCAGTCATAGGCTGTTTCCTAGTCTCTCCACTCCCCCTTCCCCCAACGGCCCAACCACCATTATTCTTATCCAGAAGCTTATATTATGAGATAAGAACTGACTATTTGTGGTGTTCAAATACAATGTAGTAGCTTGCTGCAAAAAAAAAAAAAACCTTGGGGAAAATTTGAGATACTTAACAGGGTGCTATATACAATTACAGTTTTTGTGTTCTTCTGCATCCTATGATAATTTGTGGTCTTCAAATTACAGATATATGTTATCTGTTTTAATTATAGTACAGTGGCAGCAGTCCGTGGAAATATTCCACTTTTTGGTAGCCTGCACACCAAGAATACTTTAATTAGCTATCTTGGTGTTTGTTTTCACTGAAAGTGGTAATGGTGACAAAATGATAGGAGGTCCATGATTGCGTATTTGATACACGGCCCAAGTGCAACAGTAAATTTACTTAAATTATCTTGTCCCTTGACTTGTGACTGGTAAATCTTTTTGCAGTCATTGAGAGGTTTGAAGTACTTGAAAAGCGGAATCCTAGAGATACTTCTGCGGATGACCTTCCGAATGTTCTGAAATTGAGGAAGGAACTATGTGAGGCGCAGGTATATCCCATGAATTCAAGTATATTAATGTAATGCATTTCCTCCAAGTCCTTAACAAAATTGCCTCTTGATTTGCAGTGCATAAATGAATCTCAGATCCCGGATTCTCTACTAGAAAGGTTGTTAGCATCTAAACATGAATTTCCTCCAGTTTGTGCCATTGTGGGAGGAGTCCTTGGACAGGTGATCACGCTGCTGTCTTGTTCATTTGGTACCTCTTGACATTTTTCGCTGATGTGTTCAAGTTTTTATCCTTGCAGGAGGTTATTAAAGCAATATCTGGAAAAGGAGATCCCCTTAAAAACTTTTTCTTCTTTGATGCCACAGACGGTAAGGTGATAATAGAGGACATATCAAATGTCAACAGCTGAGGAGCTAGGAATTCTATTCAGGATGATCAATGGCTTGTGGTGAATATTTTTTTAACATATGCTAACCTTATTTGTGGATTTGTCTAATTGTCTCCTACGGATAAGCATATTTAATTACGCCAGATGACTTAGTTCACCTTATGAGGTTAATCTGATTACTCTTTAGTTCAACATATGATCTGGTTTTACTTATTATTCAAACATGATAGTTAGTATATCAAAAAATGCAGAAAAAGCTTTTGGCTACCACTAAATAGCTAATGGATTATTAAAAAACCGTTTGATTAATGAATAGTGCTGTTGCCCTTTTGAATAAGACGAAGGGGAAGATCTTTTGGTGGATTGGGACTTTGAATATTTAGAAAGTGGTGCAAGCTGAAGTTTGTGACCATAAAGCTACAACTTTCATCATCTCCCTTTTCCCTTTTTGTTGATTAGTAGTTTTATGAGTGATAGTGATGAACTGCTTCGTCATGTGTTCTGAGAAGAACAATAAAAGAGAATTAGAAGAAAACTCTTGATTTTAAAAGTAATTTTTCCACACTAACAAGATTTGGAAAACTCTCACCTTCCTCCCGCTACCCTCCTTTTTATTTAGTAACTAGTTTCTCGGCATGTGCGTTGCACGTGTATGCCGAGTCATATAATATATAGTTTTAGAAAATAATATTGATATTATCTAAATAAAGCTTTAAGTAAATAAAACATGAAAGAATAAACTACAAGTTTACGTAAATATTCAACGTGGATTATCATGTAGTGACTTATTTGTTGAGGTCAAGATAATTTGATATCGTTAACTATAAAAAAATTAATTTTTAATTAGATGTATGTATTTTTTATGCTTATTCACTTTTATAAGGTACAAACATGAAATAAAGCATATTTACCTAATATGCAGCATTTTTGACATATTAATAGGTACATAATTTTGCTAACTCTACTTCGATTCTTGAGATGACAAAGCAAAAATACTGGGAGAAATTTAAAAATAGCCAGATTTATAATTGGTCGTTCAAAAACTGAGGCTTATAACCCCAGCCCAAGTCAGCCCGCTGGGCCTGGGCCGGCCCGTGGGCTAAAAATTAATAAATTAATTAACTATTAAATATTTAATATTGAAAAAAGTAAAAACTAAAAAAAACTATTAACTATAATCCCCATTCTCCAACCCTAGATTGCTCATTTATCATTCCATATCAACTAGAATTGACATTTTTGACATGCATGTAATATGATAAAATTAGTTTTTCTTTTACTTAATTAATAACGAACTCGAAAAGTTTTAGCAATAATAATCAATTTTCAAAAGAAAATATTACTTTAAGTAGCCAATGATCAGTTTGGATTACTTTAATATACTATTAATATTTAAATTGCTCTTTAGTATAGAAAAAGATCAATTTTTTAAAAGGAAAAATTTCACGTAAGAACAACTGAGCTCCCTCCTTTTCAATTTTATAGCCCATATTTTAATTTACAACCAACTAACCCAAAAATAATAGGCTAAGATTCAATATCCAACTCCAATAGGTTCTAGAAATTACTATTTAATTTTTAAAAAAGATTGCCCAAGCTTTTAAGTTAATTTTCGATTCAGTAACTGTGACTCAAATATTAGTTCAACAAACCAAATTCATTTGGATGGTGAAAATTATATTTTTAACAAGCTTAAACGTGTGGGTTTAAATTTCGAATTTGATTTTGTGAGAAACTTGGAGTGGGTGTTATTTAGACTTGTTAGAAATAGTATAAGGAGGTTATATATAAAATTTGAAGTCATTTAATGGAGATTTTGGACTGGTTTTAAACAAGAATTGCAACTGAAAATCGTGGAAGAAGTTCGTCTACAGGCGCTTGTATAAAAGTGTATAAGATGTGTTTATATACTTATATACACTATACAAGATTATACATAATTATACAAAAAACTGACTTCGTCTTCTTCCTTGCGTCTTTTCTAAAATTTAACTCAAATCTTGCCCAAATCTACTCCAAATCACTTCAAATTTAAATTTTGAACCTCTTTTGATATTTTCAATCAATTAGAACAACACTCAATCCAAATAAATAACAAACTCAAAAAATCTTATTTTCGAAAGCAAAACTTTGAATGGCCTTCAATGGTGGACTTCTACTTTTCAATTTTCTTACATTGCAACTAGATGACACAGGGTAACAAGCATCAATGGCGGACGACCCTTTGAAGCATATGTAGAAGATGTAAGAAGAACAGAGAGTGAAAGCAATGATTGTGAGAACACATATTTAACTCCATAGCTTTTAGAAGCAATGGTTGTAAGAACACAAGTTTTGAATTTGCTAGTGCTTTCAAAATATGTACAATATGGGTTAGGTTGGGTAAAACTTAAAAATATGGGCTATTTTTTGTTATGGTGTGAAATCATGTGTATTTTCTTGTAATTCTTTCTTTTGAAAACACCAACAAAAAAAAAATTGACCACTAGCAAATTTCAGGAATTTTAAAAATTTTATGGTCTATAATGATGAAATCAGTAAATGATATTAATCCTAACTTAAAAAACTTCAGCATTTAAACTTATTGAAGCAATCCCTGAATCTGAGAAAAATGGAAGAAATTCTCTAAGTAAACAGAAGTTATTTACATGATTAATCGATTATGTCACGAAAAAATATTTAAGGATTTAAAGAAATTCTTTTTTCTTAAAAAAAAAAAATTGAAGGGCCAGCCCGCGGCCCTCTTAGGGCTGGGTTGGGCTGGCCATTTTAAGGCCCGTTCATGTGACGGGCCGGGCCGTCCTAGCCCTCCAAATTTAAAAGCCCGCGAGGCTTGGGCTGGACTGGCCCGTTTTGACAACTCTAGTCATAAATGATTCCCTCTTTGTTCAGTTTACGGTTTCGCCGAATTTATTTAATATTTTATTAGTATATTAATAATAGGTATTTTGATTATTTAAAAGGGTGATTTGGTATTTTGACGTTTTAGTTAAGGGCTTTATGCTTTTATAATAATACTAGTGTCTCTGTACGATATCAAGTTTTGTAACATAATATTAATATAATTAAGGTATAAATTTCTACAAATGGTCCCCGTAAATCATCATATATTGACTTTGAAAGTTCATCCCAAACAAATACTTAACTTTGCAAGTAGACGATTAGCTTAAACAAACAACATATTATGTACATGAAACCTAATGGCTAAACTAGTAAAACATAAACTCATTGCTAATGTATTCATAAAAATAAATGTATGTCACAAAATCACTTAAGTTTGTAATTTACATAAAATAAACTTTGTATGGTTAATTAACAAAATAATTAATTTGAATTATCTTATTTAGTAGCGATTTATTTAAAATATCATATTTTGATTTTTTTTTTCAGGATCTTCTTTTCTTTTGACATTAAAACTATTAATTTATTTTTATCAAGATTTATCATTATAACATAATTTTATAGGCTATTTGATATATAGGGAACTTGAATATGAAAATAACTTTAAAATACAGATAATCTGAGTAGTAATTATTTATTGCCAACATCACAACCTTTTTTTTTTGTTATTTTCCTAAAGAAAAAAAGGAAAGACCAGCGGTTCTTTTGACATATAATATTTTATATTCTAAATCTGATTTTAAATTCAAGAAAGTATAATAATTGAACTTTACTACTTTTTGGTTAGTTCCAAATCTGACTGTTAATAGAAAATAGCCGGTGCTTGAATTTAGAGACGAACGATCTATGCGTAAAATAATTTTTAGTTTGATCGAATTTAAAAATAAATAACTTATGCTACAAAATGCAAACATTGCATCGCATCGCCTTGTCTAAAGCTAGTCGAAAAGCATTGTCAAAATAAAAAGTTAGTAGAAAAGCAGAAAATATAATATATAGATGCAATAATTATTTTCTTTTTCCACTTCTTAAAGCAATGATCACCCAAGAGAAAAAAATATATTCATATTTTTGTAAGTTAAATAAAAATCAACTCAATATATGTGTAGAACTTTAGCACTATTTGTAAATTACAATATGGAGACTCGACTAAACATTAAGTGAAAAGGTCAAAAGAAAGGTATGAGCGGAATTTAATTTTAAAAAAGAAAGAAAAGAAAGACACACAGTAAGAGAAGAATACCTTTCAGCCATAAATTAATGAATTTTATAGAATTACTGATAAGACTAATTACTCGGGTGCGTCCTTTTAAGTCACTGATTTATGCTCAATTGTACATAAATACATACTTATTTATTATCAAGTTAGAAGTTATTAAGAGTTCTCCACTTTTAATATAGTATAGATAGATATAGATATAGATATATAGAGATGGCGAACGACAAATATTATTTAGGCACAACGTTTACTCTAATCTAGAACAATTTAATTTTAAGTATAAACAAATTAAAAAGAATATTTATTATTTAACTATGATTAAATGATAAAAATTGTTATGTTATATTCATTGGTCTGAGTCAAACACCCCGTGGGATTAAATATTTCTAACAGCAAATGAAGGATTGGCGCGTCACCTCTTCTACCGTTGTGACACAATCAATGGAAGAAAGCGTTCAAGGGCATATGGTCAATTGTTTAATAATTGTACTAGGAGTAATATCTCATGAGAAAAACATCTACTAGTATTTATTTAGAAGTATTTAATTTAACATATCATATGTTACCCGCTAACTGTTTACCTAAATACATAGTAACCATTTACCGAAACCTTTTAATCTTTCATCAAGGTTTCGCGACTAGTTGATCACGCCAAACTATGCCTTATAAAAAGAATTAAGCGGTCGTTACAAATATAATTCGGTTTACAAGTCCGGAGTCGAATCTCGCAAAGAACTAATGCTTAGCTACAACTGTTCACTATCACTAAGAAGACAAGCTTGAACAATTCCTAACTTATAGATATTAAGATTCTTGTGTTTAACTAATTAACTAACAAATTAAAATAGTAAATTAACAACTAAAGATACTAAAGGTTAGAGACAAGATTAAGGAGGTCTAGAGTTATAATTTTTCCTATTGTCGGAATCCTTCCCGCTACGTTTTCTATAAATTCGCCTAAGTATTCTCTACTGATCATGAGCACTCTGACTGTCGTAACTCTCTCCCGAGTAATTACCATAATTTACTAGACATATTCTCCAGAATTATGCTAGCTGGCATTAGGTACGGC